CACTTTACAAAATATTCTGTGAAGCGCTTGGAGACATCTCAACGACATGATCGGCTGCTATATCAACTGCAAGGATTATTAAGGATAAACTGCAAGTCAAATGAATACATCTTTTTTCTTTGTAGAAGCATTTTAGATTTAAACAAATAGCACACTTTAGATCTGTAGTGCTGTACAATTAAAACGTCAAATACACTCCATGTACTAATGATGAGCAACCATGTTCCATGCTAATCAAATTTACAGTGTTACGTGCATTCAATACCAAATACTCCAAATGCCAAATAAATGGGGAAAACAAAATTTGGCTGTGAAATCTATTTTAGCATACATTTTAGATTACAGAGGTTCAGCTTGGTTACACAACACTACATCCTATCCATTTTACTTCAGATTTAAACTCAGCTTCAATGACAAACCTTAAATTCAATGAGACCAGTCCAATGTTAAAATATGCTTCAAATGTAACATTTACTATATATGGAGAAGCTTAAAATATGGCAACCAATTATCCCCTTTAAAATTCCACCATTAAAACTGATGAACTTCACTACTGCCTATCAGTCTGAAATTTGTAGAAGTTGAATGTGACTTCTGCAAATTTAATTTGAGTATACCTACCAATTCTAAAACAAATCTACAAAAATTCAGCGAGGTTTTCAGAGCTTGACTACCATCCAGTGAAAGGCATTTGAAAGATGATGATACAGAACCAGTCAACCCACAAAAGCAATGTACCACTGACAAGCCAATACTCTAAAGTTGCAATAAAAATAGGATACATTCATTTCACTGGAACGCTTAAGGGAGACACGGTGGAATTCCATCGTTTATTGGTTGGGGCTCCATAAAACCCACCCATGTTATAACAGAACCACTAAATCCAGTGGCACTATACATGCGTGGAGCCACCTCCCTCAATATAAAATGGGTCATTAGGTCACCACTGATGTAATTGTATACAAGATACTTGATATGTCTGATATGTCAGATACTTCAGAACATAGGAACAGAACACGCAATTAGGCCCATCAAACATTTTATTAGGTCATAGCAATGTTTAATCGTATTTCCCATAATTCCAGCACATAGCAAGTAATGTCCGCAGTAAAGTAATGATCCAGAAATCAGCCAATTCTGGTGCAGGGTCGACCAGCACGTGCCAAATGATCTGCTTGCACGCACCGCGAATGGGGTCTATAAGTCTATAAGGGAGGACGTCCCAAGGCGCTGTACAGTTGGGTCAGGACCCGAGCAGGGGGGAAATGGTCGGGGAGGGAAGGAGCGAGGAGAGGGTAGAGAGTCGAGAGGGGAGCTGAAGGCACGGTCAAAGAGAACGGTCTTGAGACCGGCCTTGAAGGAGGAAAGGGAGGAAGTAAGGTAAAGGCACTGGGGGATAGAGTTCCAGAGCCTGGGGGCTGAGAGGCTGAAGGCCCGGCCACCGATGGTAGGGCGGTTGGGGCGGGGGATGTGGAGCAGACCGGAGCCAGAGGAACGGAGGGTACGGGCAGGTAAGTAGGGGGATAGTAGGTCAGAGAGGTAGCAGGGGATGAGGATCTTGAATTCAATCATCTGGGGGATGGGAAGCCAGTGGAGGCGATACAACAAACCTCACATAGAGCTTTTAAGATCCACAACATAACTTTCATGCATCAAACGGGATATCAACATCACCAAAAGTCATTAATTGCCTTGCCACTTAGTACCTTGCATCCTCCACAAGTTCAGCAACTACAGACTTCTAAACAACCACCATCTTTGATTCCATTAACTGATAATTCCAAGTCATGATTCACAAAGGCCGAACCACAAATGTCAGACTTGGGAACAGAAGTAGGACATACAGAACCAGTCAAACCTACTCCACCATTTTATTAGGTCATAGTAGATCATCTTTAATTCTATTTTCCTTACCTCCCATGTATTTTTATCCTTTTTAAAGAATCTGTCTCAAAACATAATACCTCACTACAAGGTAATGCTTTATTCATAGAAACAGGAGTAGGCCATTCGGACCCTTGCGCTTGTTCCGCTATTCTATAAGATCATGGCTGATCTATACCTCAACTCAAATTACCAGACCTTTTTGCCCTTGATACCGTTACCTAACAAATATTTATCCAGCTCAGTCTTGAAAATTTGAATGGATCCAGCACCACAGCCTTTCGGGGTTGGGAGTTCCACATTCCCACTATCCTTTAGGTGAAAATCTACCTCCTGATTTCACTCCTAAATGGCCTAGCTCTAATTTTAAGATGGTGACCCTTTGTTCTGGATTCCCCCACAAGAGGAAATAGTTTCTCTGTATCCAATATCGAGGCTACAAAAAATAATCAAAAGAGAGACAGCAATTTCTTGGTTGTGAGGATGCCAAGCAATGTGGGATATGGGTTATCAAACCACATCTTAATACTCATTAGAATGGAGAAGACAGAGAAAGCTATGATTGTATGTTATTTTCACTGGCTGCTAAAAATGCTCATTCTCACTCCAGCAATATCATGCAACAGCAATCAAGACTTGAATTGCATCTGTGGAATAATTTAGACCTGTATCCTCCATTTGGCATTCAAACAAACAAGAAATACAAGTCATGTAAACTTTGGCATGGAGGGACAATATCATCATTACACAATAGGTACACTTCAAATAGCAGAAACTAAGTGGCTGCCTAATCTAATCCGATCAATTTGCCAACAGCGAATCAGATCAAATAATGTTGGAACATTGTGAATTTTTTTAAAAAAAAGAGAATCAAGCACACAACTACTGAGCCTCTTTTTTTGCAACCTTTCTTCCTTCACCTTTAAAATTCACAATGATTTTTTTTCCATCATTTAAAATTGATGACTGTGATCAACCAGACGTGTAGCTCTTTCACTACAAAATGCTGCCGGAACAATTTTATGCTGCAAAAGCATTTAGCTTTAACATTAGGTTTGCAGGTTGGTGAAAAAAAATGAAATTCATATAATCTTGATAGTTGGCTAAATACGAACTGATATTGTTGGAAAATCCAACAGAGAAAATAAATTGCTTGGGAGTAATATCATGCTAAAACCCTCAAGAATAAATACAATCCACCAGGTGTTAAAAAGTCGGTGGGTGTGGGGGGGAAAGGGGGTTTTTAGTCCCAATTCCAACAGCCTCGTTGGCATTTTGGGCGGTGCCAGCCAGCACTATAGGTGTTGAACAGCTCGCTTCACCATCAATGCAACATCTAATAAGGCAACCAAACGAGAAGGCCGGGTTTCTCCTCAACCAGCAGTGAGTGGACCGACCAATTTAGGCAACAGAACATGCAAATAAATTCGACTTGGGACTATTTTTACCCTGCTCTCGCAAAGCCTTCCAGATCTGTAATACAAACCGTTTCTAGCTTTAGTTGGGGGGGGGGGGAAGATAGGTAGGGGCTTCGTAAGATACTTGATTCGGCAAAATGTACCTTCGTGCCAGCCCAGTCTGGCCTCACGTTGCTGACAATATATATATATATATATATATATATATAAAAAAAGCTACCGTGCATTTTTTTTTCGCAAAAAAAAACATGCACATTTTAATCCATTTTCTGCGTTTGGTATTTTCCACCCCGAAGAGAGGGAAAAAAAAGCTGCTGCAATAGATGTACAAAAGCAAACGCATGAGATCTCCTCTTTACGGAGCCGGGTGGGGGTGGTGGTGGGGGGGGGGGGGAGTGATAGTGACACCGCGAAAATTATACAGCTAACGTTGCAGAGATGCATCGCATTACCAACGCAGAAATAAAATGAAATGGTTATGTAAAAGGAAACTGGTCTCAAAGCGCTCCCAGCTACTGGATGTGTCTGGTCAATGAATGGGATGCGTTTCAATTAAATATTTCTTCCCCCCCCCCCCCTTTTTTTCTTCTCACAACGACAGTGCTTTAATAAGATGCGGTGCTTCACGGTGCAGTATTTCAAAGGGGGGAATAAACTGCGCACGTGAAACTATTATAAAAAATAAAACGACCCCCACCTCCTCCCCCCCGCGACGAGACGGGCACCGCACTCTCAGCACTGCTCAGCTCAAGGAGCCGCCGGTTCAAAGTGAGATAAAGATGCTCAGGCCGACAACCATCCCTGTGCCCAGGACCCCCCCCCCCCCCCACACACACACACACACACACCCCGGTCGTGCCTTCTCCAAAGCCCCAGGAGCTCCTGGAAGGCCTTGTGTGCGTACGTGTTTGTGAATAGCCCCCCGACCCCCCCACACACCCACTTCCCTACATCAACCCCTTCCTTCAAAACACGGCCGCAAAACCCTTTTCAATCACACTCCGGCCGGCAGTTCCTCTCCAACGTGCCGGGCTGACAGCATCTGCAGCGGGGCTTCACCCCCCCCCCCCCACATACGCCGTACCCCACCCTCCCTCCCTCCCCCGGGCCTTAGTCGCTTATAAATAACCCCGCCTCGCCCTCCCCGTCGACTGCGTGAACGGCTGGCGGGTGAAAGCGTACACGTTCCTCCTCTTCCCTCACCTTCCTCCCCGTTTGTCTCTCTTCCTCCCGCCCCCCAGCCGCCGCCGCCGCCGCCGCCGCCTCTACGAGAAGCCGAGGCTCCGCCGCGGCCTGGAAGAGTTTTGCTCCAACTTCTCAAAATGGCGGCGGCGGCGGCGGGTCCCGGGGGCCGAGGGGAAGCCGGCGGCGGCTTTTTCGGTGCGGGGAGGGAGAGGTGAGGGCGGCGGGTGGTGGGGGGGGGGGGGAGAAAGAGAAGGCTCTGCTTCCAGGCAGCCTCCACACCCGGCTCCGCGAGAGAGGGAGAGAGAGAGAAGACACACACACACACACACACACACCCACACAAACCCACGTCGTCCCCATTAATTAGATTTTTCTCCGGGAGCGGAGCGAGTGTTCGGGGGGGAACGGAGGGATGAAAAATAATTTTTTTTTAAAAAAAAATTTAAAAAATTAACGTTCATCCCCAAGGTTACCCCCTCGTGAGGGGAGAGGGAGGAGGGGAGGGAGGGTCACCTTTGAATTTGAGCTCGATGGGCGGCTCCAGGATCAGCACTTGCTCCAGTCTGGCCATGGCGCTCGGTCGCTGGCTGATGGCGCCCGACGACGTTCGTTATCCTTCCTCTGCCCCGGCCGCGCGCGCGCGCTCCCGCCTCCGCAGCAATCGTGCGCGCGGGCGCGCGCGCGTGTTTTTTTTTGGGGGGGGAGGACGGGGGGGACGTGCGCGCGCGCGCGCCCGCCTCCCCTTTCGCTCCATTCCCTCCTCACCCCACCCACACCGCCACCGCACGGCGCTGCCGTGGGCACGCGCACGTGCGCGCGCCCGCCAGCCACTGCTGCTCAATGATATGGGGTGGGGTTTGGGGGGAGTGGGGGGGGGGAGGGAGGGATGGGCAGGTGGTGAGGGATGAGGGGGTCGAAGAGGAGGATCTTGAGGCGGGTCTTCAAGGAGGCGAGGGAGGGAGGGGCGAGGGAGGGGGGGAGGGAGGTGGGGGGAGGGGGCGAGGGAGGTGGGGGGGAGGGGGTGAGGCGGAGGGACTGCGGTTCCAGAGGGTGGGGGCAGAGTGGCTGAAGGACCAATAGCGAGTCAGGGGACGTGAAGCAGGCCGGAGCCCGCCGGGCGGAGGGAGCGGGCAGGTTGGTAGGGGCTTAGGAGGTCGCAGAGGTAGGGGGGGGGAGCGAGGCCATGGAGGGCTGTGAAGGTGAGGACCGGGATCTTGAACTGTATCCTCGGTGGGAAGCCAATGGAGTCGGGCGAGGATGGTGGTGATAGGGTCACGGAGCCGGTGCGGGAGAGGACATGGGCTGCGGAGTTTTAGGTGATCTGCAGCCCGTGGAGGGAGGCGTTGGGGAGGCCGACAAGCAGGGAGTTTGGTAGTCGAGCCCGGATGTAAAAATGCATGTACGAGGGACTCGGTAGCCTGCGGTGTGAGACAGTGGCGGAGCTGAGCGATGTTGCGCAGTTGGAGAAAGGCGGAACGGATCATGGCATGGATGTGGGGTATGAAGGATAGTTGAGGGTCAAACAGGACGCTGAGGTTTTGTATTGGCTCTGTGAGATATAGAGTGCATCCATGGAGGGAGATGCTGTCAGCACCGAGGTATGGAGGCGCTGACCGGAGCGAAGCAGAAGGGCCTCGGTCTTGTTGACATTCAATTGCAGGAAGTTAGCTTTCATCCAGGACTTGATGTCCGACAGGCAGTCTGTCAGGACAGCAGTGGTCCTGGAATTGAGAGTGAGGCGGAGAGGTAGAGTTGGGTGTCATCTGCATACGTGTGGAAATTGACCCCATGTCTGCGGATGATGCCACCAAGGAAAAATATATAGATATTGAAAAGGAGTGGACCAAGGACAAAGCCTGAGGGATGCCACAAGTGACTGTGCACGGGCTGGAGGAGAAACCGTTAGTGACGACAAAGTGGAGCCGGTGGGGGAGGTAGGATTCGAACCAGGCAAGGGCAGGTCCGCAAAGATTTAGCTGAGAGGAGAGGTGGGGTGTAGGAGGATAGAGTGGTCAACAGTGTCCAAGGCAGCAGAGAGATTGAGTAGGACAAGAAGGCAGAGAGAGCCCTGCTCGTAGATGTTCAGAATGTCTTTGGTGACTTTGACCAGCACTGTATCCGTGCTGTGGGCAGCATGGAAATCCGATTGCAGGGGTTCAGAGAAGGAAATGGCTGGAGAGGAAAGAGTGATTCTGGGATCCAACGACTTGTTCCAGGGCCTTGGAGAAGAATGGGAAGCTGGAGATGGGGCGATAGCTGGAGAGAAGGGGTGGGTCCAGGGAAGATTTTTTGAGGATGGGGTTGATAACAGCTGTTTTTATGGGTGTGGGAACCATACCAGTGAATAAGAAGAGGTTGATGTTGGTTATAAGAGGGGCCAGGAAGTGGAGCTGGGAGGTGAGGAGAGGGATGGGGTCAAGGGAGCAGGTGGTGGGCTCCATTTTTGAAATGATGGAGGTGAGGGAAAATGGGGAGACAGGGTCAAAGGTGTGTAGGGAGGAATCCTCTTTGATCACAACTGCATTTTGACCATACTATGGACATTTTCTCAGCCCCACCCTGCTTGACTCCCACCCATTTTAATCCAACCCCCATCTTGGTGCAAACCCCCAATTATCCAGGGTCTTGGGACATCCCCCTGATGAAAAGATGCTATATAAATGCAATTTGTCGTTGTTGGGGGTGAGGGTTGAGGTGAGGCTGGGGGGAGCAAGTTGAGGTTGGGTTGGGGGTGGGTTAAGGTGAGGTTGGGAGTGAAGTTTAAGATGAGATGAGGTTATATTGCAATGTCTGTTCTGTTGGCAAGGTCAGAGCATTTTACAATTCGACGGTACAAAATGCAATTTACAGAAACCAACACAACTGGCAAAAATCTAGTGTCACATTTACACCCATGTCTCCCAGTTGCGCTATCTGTGTAAAAAGATAAGGAAAAGGAGAGAGAAATCTGCAGTTATATATAGTGGTCTTGTAACTCAAAATTTAATACTAATAGTGCATGCCTCCAAGGAGAGATTGCACATCCATTCCAGATGCAAGTAAACAAGGGGCAGAGTCTGTTGTGTCTTGTAATAGGATGATAATGATTTGTGTTTTTTCTGTCATGAGAAATGTTTCTTTTGAGATAAGTGTAAATATTCTATCCACAAATAAATATATATTTTTAAAAATCAGGACTTTGAACTCATGTAGTCTAGGATGATACTCCAATGCTCAGGGTGCATTGGACTTCTTTTCAACTAAAATACTTAACATCAGCCAGGCAACCTCATCCACCTGCACCTTGTCACCCACTACCAAGCCCTCACTGCCCTCCTCACCTTCCTCATCATCTGCTCCTACCACCACCCCCTTTCTACACTCTTTCCTCCCCATCTCTCCCTCCTCCCTCTCACCCACCATCACCTCCATGAAACCCACCACCTGCTGCCTCGACCCCCTCCCCACCAACTTACACAGCTCCCCCTCCTCTGCCCACTACTGGCTGACGTCATCAACCAGTCCCTCTCCTCCGGATCAGTCCCTGCCTCCCTCAAAACTGCTGTCATCACCCACCTGAAAAAACCCTTTCCTAGATCCCTCAAACCACAGCCGTTACCACCCTATATCTTCTGCCCTTCCTCTCAAAAGTTCTAGAACGCATCGTTGCAAACCAACTTCGCGCACACCTCTCCTCCCACTCTTATCTTCGAACCCCTCCAGTCCGGTTTCCGCCCTGCCCACAGTACAGAGACTGCGTTTGTGAAAGTCACAAACGACATCCTCTCTATCTGTGACCAGGGCTCCCTCTGCCTCCTTGTCCTCCTGGACCTCTCCGCCACGTTCGACACCTTCCTCCCCCTTCCCCTGGCTCGATCCCGGGATCCTAAACTGTAAAGTGCTCTGAGACGCCGTCCGGCATGGAGGGCGCTATATAAATCCAAGTTGTTGTTGTTGTTGCATTATATTGTTGGAGAGAGAGATTACAAGGACTGCTTGCTTGAAAATCTACTAATTCTATGGTAAAGGGTTGTGAGCAGTATTTTGCAGAACTTCATTTAGAACTGGGGAAGGACTTTTTAAAATTATTTTCTTTCTTCGTTTACTTCATGCTAGCAATTGTATATAATCATTTGATTTGATTATTGATTTGATGATTTGATAAGAAATCTGATTTGATGAGCATGTTACAGTCTAGGAGAGATTAGTGATAATCCAGTCTCCTAAAATAGGAGATTCGGAGCCATACATGCAGTGGAATTGTCCAGCTAGGTCAGAGCTATCCTTTGTGTCTACAGGAATCAGCGCATGCCATATATGGAGTCTCAGAGAAGCCATTTTTGGGTGGTATTTGCCTGCTCCATTTTGCAATAGGAAAAGTAAGAGTTAAAAATTAATGCAAGACGGGTTAAGTCACTCACTGCCCTCTCTTTCATCACAATTCTCTCTCCTGGGATATTCACTGTCTAAACACCCTGTGAGGTGCTCTACAGAGTCAGACAGAAGAGAAGTATCCAATTTCTTTTCAATTGAGAAATCTATATGACGGATCAACACACGGAGACCGAAGAGGGAAGGGAACACAAGATAAATCAATTACTTGTGGGGCCAAACTTCTGCTTTAAAGACCTAAAGTGTGGTACATCAGGAAAATTTATGCCTTTTTAATGTGTTTACTCCGAACAAATTTGCAAGGATCGTGAATATACATACATACAGCATCAATGGCAACCACATCATGCAAACTACATAGAGGTCTGGGGACACAAGAATTGTAATCGCAGTGTGCGCTGAATTGCTTGATCATAAGCCTGGTGATACATATGTACATTCATACACACATACACATAGGTACGTACATACATATGCACACACACACATACAAACAAACGTACATCTCATAGCACTTGGTAGGATTCACTGTAAATTGTAGTGAGTACTTTGTAGGCGAACATGACAGAAATATCCCACAAACAGCCTTGAATGAATGATCAATTTTATCTGTGGGTTTATTGGTCTGGACAGCAGAAGAAACTCCCTTCTGTGTTTGAATCGTGCCACAGGATCTATTACATCCACCTGAAAAGGCAGACAGAATGTCTGTTTAATATCTCATCAGAAGGACAGCACCTTCAGCATTGCAGTATTTTACCATCACTGTATTGGAGTATCAGCCTAACTGGACTTTGAGTTCAAAGTGCTGATGTGGAGCTTGAACCCACAACCTTCAGAGGTAAGTGTTAATAACTGAGCCAGACTGAACCCTATCCATTGATCCATGCTGAAAAATGCATTCAATGAAGGCAAGTCTGAATTCATCCGTGACGCACCCTCCTTAGTCAAAGCATAGCCATCACTCACACATTCACACATAGCCACTTGGTTGAGACATTAGAGCAGTGGATGCAATCGTTGAACTGTACTCGAGAATGAGTCACTCTCTGCCTTCAGAAAAGGAAGGGAGAAAATGCAAGAAAATTTGAAACACAAAAATAAATCTCACTCGTGACATTATCCAGATGTTGATGGTTCTGGTAATGAGTCATGGAAAAACCTAAGGAAGTAACAAATCTGCATTTGGATCGCACAGTGCATGCTGCGGCAATTGTGAATATTTTGTCTTAATGTCTCCATGCTTATGAATCCAACAAAGCAATGCAATTCTTAGTTTGTTTTTCAATG